TTTGGTGACTAGTTGCCGCTGCTGCTGTTTGGTGACAGGCCAGCAGTGGAAAGGGAACTCGGAACAGCCGAATAATGTACTGAGTAGCGTTTGTCAACCGAGTTGTTAGCTCGCTCTGTGAACAGTTAAGCTAGCTCAATACTTGCTGTATTAGCCGTCCGAGTAAGCTTCTGGGAGCGAGAAGAGGTTTTAGACTGAGGATCACCAGCGTGACGTCTGTTTCTATACTGGGGATAAGTCCCTCCCCAGTAGCAGACGTCACCTCTGTGAGCCAGTCAGGGCTGGCGTAATGTTATAGTGCTTCTGGAGACAGCGCTGGGGGGCGTGTCCCATAGTGAGATACCTCACTCATGTTTCAGAGAACCGGGGTTAATTCCTTAACCTAAAGTTATTCAACCCCCATCTCTTATGCTTCCTCTTTAGCCACAGCCAGAAGCTACCTATCTCCAACACATTGCTGCTGTGTATCCCATACCACCGGTCAGGTGGGAAGTTAAGGCCCTGATGAAGCTGATTCCCCATTTACAGGGCATGTTATGGCTTCCAGCTGGCATTCTGCTGCCAAGCCTGCATATTTGGAACATCTCTACTTATTTCCACCTTCCATCCCCTCTTTGTAACAGACAGGGAGCTCCACCAGAAGCATTGTGGTGTTTCTATTATCTCGCAGGAGCTTTATCCCTCACGTCAACCTTATTGGCCAACTGCCTACTGGAGGAAAGGAGTACTGATGTGTCTCTCTGGAGAGGAAATTGACTTCCTCTGGCTTTTGCTAACAGGATACAAGGTGTAAAATCAGTTAATAGACACATGTCTCCATACTTGGGACAATGTGTTCTGCTGCCTGATAACATGCATGAGGTTTCCCTTGGTGTATCAGAAAAACCTAATGGTCTCAAAGTTGAGTGGTTTGAGTGGAAGGTGAAGATTAAGGAGATAATCCTCTTGCTGTTTAAATGCCTCACAGGATGAAAATGTTAATCTGTTATTATGACAAAGTCCCAGCCTCACCCTGATCTAAACTGTCAGACTTGTGGTTAAAATTAAGGTAAACATTATTTATGTTAAGATGAATGAACAAGCATGCAGACTGAATTATTTCAGATAGTAACAGAACTGATTGGGGTTTGTTTAAATATTTCAATCTGGGGCTTAGAGAAAATGTTCTCTAAATCCAAACCTTTGCAAATATGCTTTATTTTTTTATCATTGAAGTTGTTTTTAAAATTATCACTGGAAGAAGAATAGTTCACACACATCCGTGAAAACCTTAGGATTCTTGGCTGTGAGGAGCCAGTCGAACCTTGGACCAGAGCTGTATGTTGCCTTGGAAAACAATGGCAGGATGTTGATCTGAAGCCAGCATGTTGTTATTCTTTTTAGTTTTTTTCCCCTTTCATTTCCGTAGTTAAAAATGTTGAGAACTTTGGTTTCACTTTGCAACCTGGTTGCAAAGTGAAACCAACCTTTGCAGCCTTTAAGTTTGTTCACCTCACCCCAAACGGCTAAGTTACCCCGCAGCATGTCTCTGGGTTCTGCAAAGGCCTGGAAGAGATCGGCTTAGAAGTTTTAACCCTCTAAGCTGTTTCATAGTAGCTCTTAAAAAAAGCCAATTGCTATTGTCTCCCAGTCTCAGGTTTTGATTACAACCTCTGGGCAGCTGCCCTGTCCTGTTAAAGGAAGCATCCCTACTGCATGACGCTCCCATTACCATGTGTCAGTGTTCATGGTGTTTTCAGGGCTTTTCTGGTTATTCAAACACAACGATTTACACATAGACAAAATGTTCAATTAGTTTTTTTTACCTTGTCAGATCACCTCTTTCATTACATTTTTCATACATGTGTTTTTGGTAAACTACAGCTGGGAAATGAGGACAACTATTTTATTTTTAGCATAGCTGCTCTGGAAGAAGATGATGACGATGATGATGACGACGGCGAAGAGTGTGAAGGGCGGAAAAGGCTTCAAGTGAGCGCACACCAGGCATCACACACCAACTACCTACTGATGCGGGGATACTCCTATCCAGGAATTGGTAAAGTTTTTTTTGTGCATTAACCCAGTGTGATGTTTTTCATGTTATGTTTGATTTATGCTAAGAGAGTAAAATGCCTTTAGAGCATCCTGACCAGATTGTGGGCAGCACATTGGCTTCTTTCAGTGCTTGTAAACTCAAGAGCAAAACATGGATGAATACAGAGACAACATGGCAACAAAGCAGCATATCCAACACCTGTCTAGCACTTTGTTTCAGTAGCTCCTACCTGTTGTTTCTTGCTCCTGTCCCTTCACCTTTCATGCGATCAGCAGTAAGAACACTATCCAGGGTAAGAAAGGAGCTCCAGGCTGCTTTACTGAATCCAGACAGCGTTCAACCTTATAGACGTCAAATTAGGACTACAGCTTTCTGGAAATGGACTACAAAAAACCCAAAGTTACTCAAATATAACAAGCAGCTAAAATCCAATTTTATACCAAAAATATATTAAGGTGTGTACATAAGCTTGTCAGGTATGATGTATGTTTGCTAAATTCTGTGAGGTGGGCTGTGTCTATATCGTATGTCCTGTCATAAAGGATTGTGGGTAACATTGTAGCTCCTAGTAGCGGATAGGAATGTCAGGAGGTTCCTATGCTAACTGAACTATGGATAGGAAGCATCCTGCTTCCTCTTTCTAGCTCCTTCTCATGGAGACAGCCCACACACTTATGCTTAAGCTCAAAGCTTGGTTTATGCTGGGTTTCCTTACTGATTTGCACTTTTGGAAGGAGTTTTTTCTGATGCCATCTGATGGTGCCTGGGTATGGTGTGTTTACTGTCTAGATAAAATGTTTGAGATTGCAACATTTCAGTCACCGGTAAGGTGGAAATCTTTATGTATGTCATGTGATTTTATTGCCTTTTTTTCTTTTAAAATGTATTTTGTTAATTTAAATGAAGGTTTAAATTATATTTAGTTAAAAGTAAAAAAAAACTAATTGAGTATAATATACGTCCTGAATAAATTGTCTTCTTTTTCGCTTCAGTTAAATTGCGTAATCTCAACACGAATGATAACATTGTGGTTGAGTCGTGCATCATGAATCTGAAACTACGAGACACTCCGGCTCACCATTTCTTCAGTGATCAGAGTAAGTATCTGTTGTTTTTAATTTGCACACATTACTTCAATCTCCTTAATCATTTTTTTTTTTTAATTTTTTTTTTTTTTTTTAGATTTTCCACCACTAGATTTAACTAAATACGGTCCCTCGCTGCTGCCCCCTGTCCTCACCCGTAACATCCTCTCGCCATCCTCTTCTCCACCCACTGCGGAGGAATGTGAGAGACGCTTGATCCAGGATGGAGGATACACGGCTCAGGACATTGAGGCGTGTGCTCAAATCAGGAGGAGTTTACAGGAAGCTGGAGAAAAAGGTTTGGATGCAAGAGACCTGCACAGGTCTCATGTCCACCTGCTGGAGCCGCAGTCTGGACGCACGAGGAGCCTGCAGCAGTACCTGCAGGTAAAAATGTGCATAGCTCTCGTAATGTTGATGATGGGCCGTGGTTCCCTTTTACTGCCGAAGTTCACGAAATTATTAAACTTCACATGATGATTATGTCTCATCCTACTTTAAATGTAAGATATCTTCTTTGTTGTCTACATAGAGCTTTGGTGTTTGAGCAACTAAATTAACTTTCCCTACTCTACTGCTACTTATTGGGATATCAAAACACTATCAGTTGGAGTTTAGTGACGATGTATATTAAACATTTTTGGTAGGGTATATTGATATATGTCTCTTGTGTCCAGGCTGCAGGAGCTAAAAATATTTTCTCTTTAGTGGTTTATTCATGGGAAGCCGGCAAGTACAAATTCCCTTTTTTTGTAAGTACATTTCTCTGCCTTAGGACCTGCAGGTAGAAGGCCAGGTAGTCCAAGTCGGGAGTATGGGTGTCCGCTGGGTCCTCATGGAGCATGCCGAGCCGTGGCTCCTGACTGTGAACTGCAAGCAAATCCCTCGGTCTCTCCTGACGGGCAACAGACACTCATACCTGAGGACTCATCACAACATTCCTTTTGCACGCAAGAGGTGCAGCACAGAAGTTCAGCGGGAGGGAGTGGGGCCGCCTGCGAAAAGGCTAGCTAAAGACAGAGAAAAAGAGACGGACAAAGAAACAGTGGATGGATCTCCAGGTGAGGTAACTGAGAAACCGAATGAAGACCAACAGCCAGAACAGCAGAACGAGAAGGTTGATGAAGGAAGTGGAGATAAATCCATGAATTTGGAAGAGGGGAAACAAGCGCAGCCTGAACATGATGGACAGAAGAAATTGGAAACTGAGCAAGGACAAAGTAGACCAAAAAGAACCAGAAAATGCAAATTTAGTGATGAAAAAGATCAAGAGTCATTCTTTCTGCAATCAGGATCATCTGATGCTGAGTGAGTTTCACCTCTATGGATTCCTGATGAGGTTATTTGCTCCCCTCCTGTGTTATAATCTCTTTTTTTGTGTCTTATCATCAAACTTCTTTCCGCACAGGGAGAAACTGAGTTTCATCAGCAGGCCGTGGCGCTTCATTGATGGGAAGGTTAACCGGTCGGTGTGTAAAGGGATCTTGGAGGCCGTTCTGTATCACATCATGTCTCGGCCAGGGCTCACTCAGCAGGCCCTGCTGGGACATTATAAAGACACTCTGCAGCCTCTGGCAGTGCTAGAGATGGTTCAGGTAAACAGAAATATGCTAAACCTGGCGCTGCATGTGGGCTTCAAATGATTTAGAGCACATCCATTTGGTAGAAAAGATAAATCTGTTTATGGGTCTTTGAGTTAAAAAGATGAGCTAATAAGCTGAATTAATACTTGAGCAGTTTACTGAAATTAGTCTTCTTTTTCACAACTAATATCCCTTTCTGTCTTTCCCTCAGGCACTCATAGATATTGGTTGTGTAACGAAGAGAACTTTAGTTAAACAGCCCAAACCGTCACTATTCAGCCGCTCTGCACCAACGGACAGTGGGACTTCAGGGGTGACAGAGGAACCAGACACTGTGTTTTATGAGCCCACCATCAGCTGCTGCCTGCGGCTCTGTCGGGTGCTGCCCAACGACCGACACTGGAACGAGTGCTGAACCTGAATCTGTGGATCTTTCTCGCTCACAAGGCTCCGCCTCCTTTCTTGATTTTTTTTTTTTTTTTTTTTTTTGTAAATTAGGCCAAGATTCTAGTAGAAAAAACAAATTTCTATGAAAGATTTTCTTTTGGTGTGTCAATATTATGTCCCACTGTTTTTTTTTTCATTTAAGATTTTAAATAAAGATTTGTTTCTCCTTATTTTGCATTGCACTAAATCTAAAGAATGGAACAATTTTTTTTTAAACTTTTTACAAGAAATGTAAAACCTGTTTTTAAAATCACTAAAACAAAATCTTCACCTTTATGAGCTTCCAGATTTTCTTTAGCAGGATAAACAGCACTGATGTCCAATTCGGGCCCTCGAGGGCCACAGTCCTATGTGCTTTAGATGTTTCCCTGGCTTGAAACATTTGACCTATATATGCATCATAAGCTAAATAACCTACTGAGAAAGTGATTCCTGTATATGAATCAGAAAGAGCTTCCCTTCTGTTCTTTATTCATTCCTTTTTTGTGTCCTTGCTTACTTTTTGAGTCCATCCTTCCGTCCTGTCGTCATTCCCTTATGTTTTTTTAATTTCACTCTTTATTTCCTACCCTCACTGTATTTTACCTTTTGTTTTGTTTTTTTCTGTCTTTGCATCTTCCATGTCTGTTTTCTGTCTCTGCCCTACTCAGGTCCTGCTCAGTTCTTTCAATCTCCTTGTTTTAGGAGATTACATGCTTAAATCTTATGAGAACTTAAATTTTTTAACAGTGAATATAAAAGAACAAGATATACCTCACCGAACCATGTTTTTTCTCCCATACTGTTTACATTTGATAACTGCTGCACTTTATGGACTGTAAATTTTCATTTCACTAAGCTGCTGCACATTAACAACGAAGGTTGTCTAAGTCGAAAGTGTGTATTAGGGCTTAAACAATCGGATTAATCATGATAATCGATAATTTAATTAATCGTTAACTGGAGTATAGAGACTCTATACATGCCTTTTAGCTGACAGAGCAACCCACTGAGGAAGTAAATATATCAAGATTGTAAAAAAAAAAAAAAAAATTTAACCATTTTGCAATTAAGATCAAAAAAAAAAACTTTCCTCACTTAATGTGCTCTAAGTCGAAGTCCTAAACTGGAAAGGTTTTAGTTTCACCTGGGTTGATGTTGTAAAAAAAAAAAAAAAAATCTTGAAGGAATCTTTGGCTATCCAATTATTAATTAATCAAAAAAAAAAAAAATCAACAGATGAATTTATTTGCAGAATAATCGTTAGTAAAATTAGTGGTGTTAATAGGACTGTACAATTTAACACACTCAATTTGGTGTTGTAAAACTAGGTTAAAATACAGTTTATTTTGTTTCACTCTACAACTAACATCAACACTAATTGGACCAGCATTAAACCAAATATTCTGACACTAATATCAAAGTAACTTCTACATTGTACAGGGCAGGACCACATGTAACCTGGCTCAGTGTTGAAAGTGACTCTTGATGTTAAAAGGGCATTTTTGTTTTAAACCAAGGTGTACATCTGAACCTTAAACCAGAGTTTATAGGGGAAAAAGACCCTGTAATTATCAATGTATTAACTTATTATTTATTTTACTCTTTGTTTATTGTTATCAGTATAGATTAACCATAAGATGTTTTTGATGCCCGTCACTTTTTGCTCACCCATCACTGCACATTGGCCCCTGCCTGACCACCCCTATGAAAAGTCTGGAACCGCCTCTGGTCAGGCACTATGCTAATGTGACCACCTTTGGAATTACAAATGTAATGTAATTCTGTAAATAAATGTGAAATTCTGGGCACTTACCATGTTTTTCCAGCAAGGAGGAGCAGTTAAAAATTCCAGTCTGTATGGAGCAAAAGGGCAGAGTTTTTCAGAGTAATTTTCACAGCAATTCCCAAAGACTGAATTTTCTTGAACATATGGAAAGCTCTGTGTTTACACCTTGAAGCTTTCTCTCTCTGGTTCTTTTCTTGAGAAGAGATCACTCAGGAAAAACTTTAAATAACACTTCATAATGTATATGTATTAAATGACCATGAGAAATGACACCAGTTTTTGTCAGAAATTTTAATCTTACTCGGTCCTGAGAAGTTGCTTAGGGTTACAGATGGCAGCGCTTACCATCTTGGGCACACCTCTCGTTGAAGTGGTCCTAAATCACCGTTAAAGAAGCATTATATACAACTCCAGTATGACACATCATTACATCATACAGGTTTGCAGATGAGTAGACATCCATTGCTCCAGCCATATCAAACTATTATACAGTGTCCCACATAAAAACACAGAGAACTCGCTATTAAGAATGATCCACTCTTTCCTTGGCCCCATTTCATTTTCAAATCTGTGGTTTGTGCATAATGAAGATGATAACTGTATATCCTGACAGAGGAACGGTGCTAATTGGACACTTTGACACTCCTTTGACATGCAAAATGCAGGTAATATTAGGGATTAACAGACTTGCACATCTTAAATAATATTCCTAACAACAGGTTACACAGTAAAGAGTAATATTACACTGATTTAAAATAAATATTAACAACACTGCAAGACATACAGTAGGGAGGCATTTAACACGCAGTGTTGTTGGAAAGACTCTTCGAGGGTTAATAGAATCTGAAACTGCTAATATACACATATTAATACATAGTATATATGCCTAAATGTAAAACTCACACAGAGGTTCACATTTGTTTTTTTATATTTGTATTTTTTGCTAAATATGTTAAGACATCAGAGAGGCAGGACAATTAATATGTTTGCAGATGGCTTTTCTTTAATTACTCTATTGTTAAATTTCTTGGTCCAGTGTGCGACCATTTGGGTTATTCAACTCTGGCTCCTTGAAATAGAATGCACAGCAGCATGAACACAAAGCAGTGCTTAGAAACCTTTTAGGAAACTGATAAAGATCCCCGGGAAGTTAAAACACCAGGCTGTGCTGAAACCTCCCCTTTAAACTGCTATTTCCTGTGCTTGTGTTGAGCTAGCTAAAAAAATAGGGGGAAAAATAAATGTTTCAGATCATCCACAATGGTTTTCACATGCTCATTTCACCCAGCCAGCATGCATGGGTGGGGCCCACATGGGTTTGTTGTGGGCTACATTGGTAATGAGTGGGCATGGGACCTACACTACCGTTCAAAAGTTTGGGGTCACCCAAACAATTTTGTGTTTTCCTGAAGAGTCACACTTATTTACCACCATACGTTGTGAAATGAATAGAAAATAGAATCAAGACATTGACAAGGTTAGAAATAATGATATGTATTTGAAATAAGATTTTTTTTTTTTACATCAAAATTTGCTTTCGTCAAAGAATCCTCCATTAGCAGCAATTACAGTACAGCATTGCGAACCTTTAGCATTCTAGCTGTAAATTTGTTGAGGTAATCTGGAGAAATTGCACCCCACGCTTCCAGAAGCAGCTCCACGCACCTCCAAATTGTGCTTCTTGCACAATTTGGAGGTGCGTCTAGGGTCATTGTCCTGTTGTAGATTAAATTGGCTCCAATCAAGCGCTGTCCACTGGGTATGGCATGTCGTTGCAAAATTGAGTGATAGCCTTCCTTGTTCAGAATCCCTTTTACCCTGTACAAATCTCCCACCTTACCAGCACCAAAGCAACCCCAGACCATTACGTTACCTCCACCATGCTTAACAGATGGCGTCAGGCATTCTTCCAGCATCTTTTCATTTGTTCTGCGCCTCACAAACGTTCTTTGTGATCCAAACACCTCAAACTTGGATTCATCTGGCCACAACACTTTTTTCCAGTCTTCCTCTGTCCAATGTCTGTGTTCTTTTGCCCATCTTAATCTTTTTCTTTAATTGGCCAGTCTTAGATATGGCTTTTTCTTTGCCACCCTGCCCTGAAGCCCAGAATCCCGCAGCTGCCTCTTCACTGTAGATGTTGACACTGGTGTTTTGTGGGTACTATTTACTGAAGATGCCAGTTGGGGACCTGTGAGGCGTCTGTTTCTCAAACTAGAGACTCTAATGTACTTATCTTCTTGCTCAGTTGTGCAACGCGGCCTCCCACTTCTTTTTCTACTCTGGTTAGAACCTGTTTGTGCTGTCCTCTGAAGGGAGTAGTACACACCCTTGTAGGAAATCTTCAATTTCTTAGCAATTTCTTGCATGGAATAGCCTTCATTTCTAAGAACAAGAATAGACTGTCGAGTTTCAGATGAAAGTTCTCTTTTTCTGGCCATTTTGAGCATTTAATTGACCCCACAAATGTGATGCTCCAGAAACTCAATCTGCTCAAAGGAAGGTCCGTTTTGTAGCTTCTGTTACAAGCTAAACTGTTTTCTGATGTGTGAACATGATTGCACAAGGGTTTTCTAATCATCAATTAGCCTTCTGAGCCAATGAGCAAACACATTGTACCATTAGAACACTGGAGCGGTAGTTGCTGCTGGAAATGGGCCTCTATACAGCTATGTAGATATTGCACCAAAAACCAGACATTTGCAGCTAGAATAGTCATTTACCACATTAGCAATGTATAGAGTTTATTCTTTAAAGTTAAGACTAGTTTAAAGTTATCTTTATTTAAAAGTACTGTGTTTTTCCTTCAAAAATAAGGACATTTCAATGTGACCCCGAACTTTTGAACCGTAGTGTATATAGTTAACCTAAAATGTGACCAATATGGGCTGGCCCATTTGGGTTGAATGTATGAGCCCTATTCAGCAGCAATGTGGGTTAGCTGGGAAATGGGAAAGAAATGCACAACCTTATATGGGCCCATGTTGTTTCAGTATCATGGGCCCAACATGTGAAGCCCATGTGGGTTGACCACACTGAACCCCCATGAAATAAGCATGGGTTACATGGGTCTGACATGGAAATGTAGGCCCTAGTAGATTTTTATGTGGGGTAATGGGACAAACCTGGGGAACATCTTAAAGGAATAGTACACCCAAAACATGATTAGCCTTCATTTTCTACTCACCCCCATGCTGAACAAAACTCTGGAGTACTTTTTTGATATCTCAAATGCATCTGGAGATCTGGGAGGCTTCTTGCTGTCTGCTGACATTCAAATAATGGAGGTCTATGGCGCCCGAGACAGAAAGGTCCACAAAAGTCCACAAAAACGTGTCAATATTCCTCCATACTGCTCGTCCAATGTAATCCAAGTGTCCTGAGTGGGTAGCATCC